ACAGGGTTTCTCAGCCCTGGCACTACTCACACCTTGTGCCTGTTAATTTTTTATTGTGCAGGATGGGTCACAGCATCCCTGTCCTCTACCAACTAGGTGCCAGTAGCCTATCTCTAGTTGTGACAATTAAAAATGTCTCTTTATGTTACCAAATATCTCCTGGGAGGCAAACTGCCCAACAGGTTTGGAACTACTGTACTAGGATGAGAGAAAAAATTTTAATTATGTTTACATAGCCATAATGATATCTGTTCAGTATATACATATTGGATGGGGAAAGGAAAGCTCCTTATAATACAGTATCTAACAGCCCCTTTTTTCAAGAGTTAGAATTTATTCAGTTCTCATTTAATGCAAAAAAAAAGAAAAAGAAAAAAAAGAGGCTATAGAACTTATTTTTCTTTTCCAATCTATTATTGAAGAGAAAGCTGAATTTCTGTCAGTATTTGGAAACCTGACCTGGCATCAAGTATGAGATAGCACGAATAACTGCTGTAATCGGCCTGAGAAATAAAAATACCGAAACCATTCTAGCCCCCAAATGCCTGTTAAAAAGGTACACTTTACAAATCTTCAAAACAGGTTTACGTTTTAATCTGAATGCCAAAGAAGTGATAAGACTCGGTACGATACACATACTTTAAGACAAAGTTTTTCAAGGTAAAATACAAATGCATTGGCTATAAATGAATCTTATTCTGTTTTTAAGACCTTCTGTTTCAGTCTTTTCAGGATTATTAAGCCTGCCTCTTGCCAAAAAATTTTATTTTCTATCATTCCTCTTCAATGTTTTTGTTTCTTGGTTCACACCACAAAGAATGTTTTCGATCAAGAAACTGACATGAAGAGGAGCCATAAGAACTGTTTCAAGCATCTTCTTTCCAAAAATTCTATCATATCAAGGTGTTGCGTTTATATGGCTTAAAGTTGGAATCCTGTTACACGATCATTCGGAATGATCTTATTACAACCATGAATATATAATTGAAATACCTAATGAAGCATTCACTTACACAAGGAACAATCTTTCTTTATATGCCCGAGATGGACCCAAACTGCATTTTGATTTTCCCTCTCCACTTTCAAAACACACGAGGCTTGTAGTAATTACTATTTGTATTTACCAATGTGCACTTCTAGTCTCTAGTCTACCCAGGACAAAAAGCTTTTTATAGGGAAACAGAGAAAATATTCCAAATGATTCCTGGGCTGGATAACGTGAAATATTTAGCTACCCAAAGTACCAGCAGACAAACAAGAGAGGGTCTGTAGGTGACAGAGGTGGTGGAGATGCATGGACACTCAGTAAGGTGCAGCGCGGACAAGAAAGGGTGAACATGGCCATGGAAGGAGCAGGATGAGAAAACCGGCGTGCTCAGGGTGATGAGAGAAGTGGATGAGATGGTAGCTTGAAAGGCAGAAGGTTAACTGACTTGCTGACATCTGAGGTTGAGGATGCAAAAGGCCTCGAGAGCTCCAATTCCGGGAATGAAGGTTCTGCGTGGCGAACACAGAGCAGCAAAAGAGAAAACGGCAGTTCTTTGTTCACAGCCCGGGAAAGCCGGGTCTCGGTGGACCTCGTTAATAAATGGCCGCGAGCTTCAGGGTCTTTGCCTGGAAAGGGAGACATGGAACGCCTACCTAACTAACGGCGGTGTTCTAAGCCCTCTCTGAATAGGAGCGGCACCCTAATTCTAAGTGCCCGCAGCTTTCGGGGCCCAGAGACTTAAGAATCCTAAGACAGAATCAGGCAAGCCCATGGCTAGAAAGGCCGCGCCAGGGAGAGGCTTTCCCCCTGTAGTTCGGAGCCATGCTGGGGAGAGAGGCGGGAAAGACCTGGCATGGTGAAAAAGAGCGGAGAACAGGTGCTTTCCTCCTTGAGGCTGCAGCGGGAACCTCAAAAAGCGGGCCGGAAACTGTCTTCTGAGGGCGCGCCGAGAGTCCCAGGTCGCTCCGCTCCGCAGACGCTCCGCAGCGAGAGGCAGGTGTCTGCGGAGTCCCGGGCGTCATAGCAACCGCGCCCGCCTCAGAGACGCCAAGGCGTTCTTCCGGCGGGAACTATAGAAACGACGTGCTCCCATTGGCTCAGGGGCTGTTCTTCCTGCGGAGACCAGCGTGACGGTGCACGCCATTGGCTTATAAGGTCGTGGGGCGGAACTTCTGACAGAATCGGTGGTACGGCCTCAGCGTAGGCTGTGTGGTAACCATGGTAACGTCAAGGCGCGCGTTCGCAACTTTTTGTCCCCAGGCATTTACAGTTCTCACACAGCTTCTCGCCAGGTAGCCCCGGCATCATTACCTTGGATTTGTTTTTGTAGAAGTAACTTCATTCTTAAAAGGGAGAGGGTGCTCCGTCAGGAGTCACGAATTTTAGGCCTAGTTCTGTAACTACCGGAGGCACCTAAAACAAATCGCATTTTGGAACCGACTTATTGTCAAAACGAAGATACCGGGGGAAAAAAAAAGAAAAATCCTAAGCACTGAAATTCGGTTTAGGTAATGCAAAATAAAAATTTCTAAATGGCATGAAATTTAACACAAGCTCAATTTATATCATCTTCATTTAGATGCTTTTATTGTAAGATTCCAGTTAAAGCTCGATTTTACTCATGTTTACAGGGCTTTTCTAGTATCTCAAACACGTATTTACCTTTTTAAATCTTACTCTAGTTTCCCATAGGATCCTTTCCAAAGCTCTGCCGGTTCTAGATGCATGATCAGGATCGATTTTATCCCTTACTCTCTAGAACTGCTTCAACCTCTACCTCTGGTACCAGAGCCCTTGCAAGTTCCTTCCTCTCACCTAAAATGCTCACCACCATCACCTCAAGCTCACTTACATTATATATCAGTTCAAGTGTCACTTCCTCAAGGAAGCATTCCTTGGTTCTCCAGTCTAGATCATTTTCTCATTGAGAAATCATGTTCCTTTTCATTATTTCTTTCTTTGCTCACTTCCATTTGCTATTGGAATTTTAACAAGTGTAAATACTGTTTGGAATGGAAATTAAACAGAATTACAAAACACTTTAAATAATTCCATGGAGAGAAGTGGTGGTTGTTACAAGCATAAACAAGATAGGAAATGGTTTCCAAGAGATATAATTAAGATAAAAACATTAAGATTACTTCTAGTTTTAATTCCATTTATCCTCATTGTATAAACAAAGATAATGACAGCCATAATCTGCATAAAGATATAGATGTAGGGAAGGAAATCAATCTTTTACTTCCTATCACTTCAGTACTGCAGACATTGCTGACAGAACTATTGCTTTTAAGGTTTTGCCCATTGGACCCTAAGTTAATTAAAAATTTTGTTCAATGGGAAAGATGCTTCCAGAACAGTCCTGATTACTGGTTACTTTTCCTCTGCTCAAGGTCACACTTCCTGATTAATGAACTATTTCAGTGCATCTTGGCACTTCTGTTCAAATCTTTTCAACTGAAATTTATTGTACCTCTATTATCAGTCCCAACTCATTTCATAAAACATCACAAATTACATTTTAAATCAAATATTTGTGTGAAGCACAGTACTTGCCTCTACCTAGTTGTTAATGGTAATTTTCCAAATTGTTCTCTGGACCATTGTACGAATCATTTAGTGGATTTTTCTGGACTACACTTCTTGTGCCAGGACAGCCAGTGCTTTGAAAACTTCTCAAGGATTCAAGGATCCAGCAGGGCACCAGCCCAATACTGCCTTGCTAAGAAAACAATTGCAACCGCTTAGTGAGTGTAAACTATATGCCAGGCTCGAGACAAGTGATTTATCTTGTTTTACTTAATCCTCACAACAAATGGCATTGTTTTGCAGTGATTATCTCCATTTTATGGATGAGAAAACTGAAATTAAGTCAGGTGACTGAATGTATTGTGCTGACAGGTAGTGTAGCTTGGGAGAGGTCAAACATGGCTAAGAGGACTCCAAGGCCCATACGCTTTACCACACTGTCATGCTTCCCCAAGGGTAGAGATGATCGATTGGCCCCTGTCTAGTTCTGGGCAGAAGCCCAGGTTCTCTCCCTGAGGAGCAGTCCTAAAAATATTTGAAGGGTAAATTGTTAACTCAAACATGGAGCAATCCTAGTACAAGAAAGCAAAAAGAAAAGCTGTAGGAAGCTCACTGTTCCTCAGGCAATCTGTCTTCAGGGAGGTGTCCTTCTCTCCTATTCCCATCTTTTTAAAATTTTTTTTTAATATATTTTATTGATTTTACACAGAGAGGAATTGAGAGGGACAGAGAGTTAGAAACGTCGATGAGAGAGAAACATCGACTAGCTGCCTCTTGCACACCCCCTACTGGGGATGTGCCCGCAACCAAGGTACATGCCCTTGCCCGGAATCGAACCCGGGACCTTTCAGTCCGCAGGCCGACGCTCTATCCACTGAGCCAAACCGGTCCCGGCCTATTCCCATCTTTGATAACCCCCCAAAGAACAACATCCTTTCCACAATGTCAACTTTTAGGCACATAGTTTATTGCACTTAATTTTTTTAATATATCCGTTTCCCAAACTAGACATGTTTATTCATCTTTTTAATCCTCATAATCATCAAGGCCGACCACATAGTAGGCATCAACAACGGATGTTCGAAAAGCATGTCCATTCATGAAACCATAATTCACTTTTTAGTATGAAGATGGTTGATATTCAGGCCTCACATGTATATTTTAAGGAATAGAATTCCCAATAAAATCTTTTTATTTTTTATGGGTGAGACACAGCTCATGTTGATTTTAAAATCAAGATGACATTCAGGTGAATGTGTCAGGTGGGTCAGTCATAATTGCTTTGCTTTTGTTTTCATTTTTAATGGGCATGAAATGACCTTTAAAAAACAAATAGCAAAAACCATATTCGCCTGCACATCACTCATTGCTTTTTCCCTTCATTTTCTCTGTCTTTCTGAAAGCAACGGATTTATTCTAGTTCTCACCATCCGTAAGAGCCCTGGTCCACCAAACAATTTTTGATCCTATCGTTTTTGATCCTTCAGTTTTTGCCTTGTATAAAAGCTGTGTGCCGGGACTGAAGATCATCCACTATCTTCTCTTCTATTTCCAGGCCTTTTCCTATTTCTTCCTCTGATAGCAATAACTTAGTTTCTGAGTCTTTGGTTACAATAACCACAAAGGACCGTTGTGACTCAAGGATGTTAGCCACCACCACTTGATGTCGATACATTTCCAAAGCATTCCGTGCACGATCAATTATGATAGAGGGATTAGTCTCCAACTTAAAGGAAATTATAAAAGCTTTGGGAGCCCAGTCTTTAACCAAAGGAGAAAGCATTTTTGGCACCATCTTCATTGTTATCTGTGTTGGAAAAAGAAAAGCTTAATAAGCAAACAAAGGTCACTACCTACCAGGTTAATCTCATGGGAAACTCAGGAGGCAGGGGCTCAGATTTTTGACTATGTCGAAGTGGGACTTCTCATTGTCAAACTTTTCAAAGCATATGAAATGCTTAGCTTAAAAACTTTGGCTCTGTAGGGTTCATAAGGATGCCTAATCTCAAAGCTTCATACATATTCTATGAGCAAACCATATATAATAAATCAGTGCTGCTCGGCCATACTCTTCGCCATTAATAGAACCCCATAGGACAGCATTACACTTTCCCAAATATCTCCCTTTATTTTTAAGCCAAACCCCCATGTAAACAACTGCAAATAATCTACTCATGCAAAAGTTACTTTGGCAGAAGCTCAAATAAAGTCGGGTTTTTGAACCTCGGCCTAAAATATTCCTTACACTGATAGAATGGCTATTCCATTTAAAAACTGTCACTTGTGACACATCGTAGCACTTATAACTGATTTTCTTTGATCACAATGTCTACTACACCATTCTCAATCCCTTCTAAAAAGGATGTTGAGTTGTTTTGTGTACTTCCAAGATAGAACTAAAAAAACAAAAGATAAACTAAAGCTCCCATAATTTAAATAGTGTAACATCACAAATCATCAGGTTTTCCCCTCAGAAAATTAGAAAGTGTGCTAAGGATCACATATCCGTTCTCCACTTTTTCTCCTTAGCATTTATCACTACCTAACATAGTATTGTCTCCTCTACAAAGTATGAGCAACACAAAGACACAGTATATTTCTTTCCCCTGTTTTACCTCCAGGCCCTACAACAGCGCCTGGCATGTAGTTGGTACTTAATAAACATTTATTGAAGAAACAAACAAATGAACTATCCTACAAAGTAAGTGCCCCACAGGGAGTTTCTCCTATTTAAATTCTATTTGTATCATCCAGTAAATGACTAAGAACTCCCTCAGGTTACAAGAAGCCAGATTATCTCATATCTCAATCACCCTACTACACTCCCTATACCACCTCCTTAAACTACAGCAATAGCCCCATCTCATCAACCCTAGCCTCCCTCTCTAATTCTCCCTTCATACAGATGCTACAATATTCTCAAACAAAACACTGTAGTTCTCCTATTTATGTTTCCCTTGGCTCCACAGGATAAAAAGTCCTAGCTCCTTAAGAAGGATGAGAAAGTCTTTTATGATTTTAAACTGTATCTTCTGCTCTCCATTCCCACCCCTCTCGCTGCTCTCTGGCCTTATCAAACAACTTCAGTTCATAATCACTGCCCACTTCCAAACTCCAATTGTGTACTCTATCTGGAATGACCTTCCCCACTTTGACTGGTATACTCTCTGCTCATCTTTTCAAACTCAGTTCAAGTAATCTCTAGAGAGCCTTCCTTGACTTCCCAAGATTCAATCACCGCATGCTTTGACTTCACTTTGTATGTACCTCGACTAGAACATTTGTCACTCTGTATTGTAATGATGTCTGTGTCCAGGTCCCTCCCTAAATTGTGAGGTCCTTGAGGGAGAATGGTGTCTTACGCATTTCTATATCCCTAGTGCCTAGTTCATATGAAATGCAGAAAGGCCACAGCCAGACCGGGAGGTTAACCCAGGATTGATTACAGGGGATCAGGTTTCTGGAAGGGAAGCGCCCATCACCTGTAGTGGGCCCCCAGATGACTGGATCTTGTGTTCAGGCATTTCAGAGACAGGAACATAGAAATCTGACACGGCTGCAGCAAGATAAAACATCGCAGATGGGCCTGCAAAGAGAAGCACAGGGTGTAACAAATCGGAAAGGTGTATAGGATCAGATCCTGTGCACTTCAGGTTCCCCTTGCTATGAGACCTATGGGTGATGAGGGTGTAGAAGGGGTGTCTGGGGAGAAAGGCACTGCCTCCCGGGAACCGATGAATTCCTAAGGCACGCACCTAGCGGATTGAGCGCCTGGGCCGCAGCCTGCAGCAGATGCAAATAGTCCGCCAAAGTAGTGAACTCTACGGCCAGGAAGGTACCGGCAGCCGCAGCTTCCTGGTAGCGCCTCAGAGCCGCCGCGAAGCCCGGGAGCGCCTTCTCCTCGACCTCCAGGCTCAGGAAGCCCGGAGTGGCGGGGCTGGCGGGCCGCAGAGCTGACAGCCAGGTCTGGGGCGGGAAGCGGTGGGCAAAGGGGAAGGCGGAGCGAGCGCGGTGTAGGAACAGGACGCCGTAGCCCGCCGCCAGGAAGAGCTCGGCCGAGGTGGCCCCGCGCCGCCCGCTGCTGAAGTTGTCCAGGTAGCGCACCGCCCGCGCTTCCAGCGGGACCTTCGTGCCGCCGGACGTCACCAACACCACCCGTCTCCCCTGCGCGCCTAGCCGGGCGGCGAAGCGAGCCATGACCTCGGCCCAGCGCGCGGCGCCGGCGGGCTGGGGGAACTCGGCGACCAGGTCCACTTCCGCCATGAATCCCAGGGCTCCCCTTCGCCGGCGGCTGACGCGCAACCGCAATCGGAGGGGAGGTGCCCGCGCTGGATTTCCTCACGACTGGAAGGGCGTGCCGGTCCAGCCTCCCAGCCCGGAGGAACTGGCACCGAGCGGACGCCAGTCTCCTTCCCCATCACCTCGTCTGGGTCAGGAACTGGACATGTTTGCCCCTTGCCGGCCACCGTACAAGCCTTTCTGCACTAGGAGTCCACTGGAGCTAGATTGCGTGGCCATTTAACTTAGGGGTTGGGATTTGTGTGGGGGGAATGACGGTTGTTTTCTGTTTATTTTTGGCTGCTTCTTTGTCTTTTTTAACCTCAAACACGCTCCAGGGGTTAGACAAGCCACGCCCTCCCCCTGTCCTTGAAATGCTGGGGACGCGGTGGCCCCGTGGTGGTCACGTGACACCGGCGTCCAGCGTCTCGTCGCCAGGCAACGGTCCTGCAGACGGACGCCGCCGGCTGCAACATGAACAAGATCTACCAACTGGCGGTGCCCAAGGGGCGCCGGATCTGCTGCGAAGTGTGCGAAGCTCCAGCCGAGCGGGTGTGCCCGGCCTGCACAGTCACTTATTACTGGTAGGCCCTGACATGTGGCTCCTAGGCGACCGACTCCCATTCTCCCGGTCACCCCTCTGGCTTGGGTGGGCCGACCCGGTTTCACGACCGGCCTCTAAGTCTTCGGCGGCGCCTCGTTTTCATCCCCTTCCGCTCAACCCTTCACCAGCAGGTGTTTTGTTGAGCGCCTAACTGTGCGCTCCGCACTGTTCCGCGTGCTGAAGTCCCTGAGGGAACTCGGCTGACCTTGTCCCTCAAAGGGCTAATGACATTTTCACGGCGACCTACAGAAAACAAGATCGTTTCAGAGAGTGATAAATGTCAAAGGAAATGCGATGGGAGGTTGGGCAGATTGCCTCACTGAGGGCAGACTGTTGATCTGAAAGTGAAGGAGGAGGAGCCTGCCGTGGAAATGGCTGGGAGAAGAGGGGTACAGTAAGGCTCCGAGGGAGAAAAGAATTGGCTGTGTTTGAGGAGTAGAAAGAAGGCTATTTGGCCCCGGCCGGTGTAGCTCTGTTGGTTGAGCGTCCTCCCATGCACCTAGAGGTCACCAATGTGTTCCCTGGCAGAACACATGCCCAAGTTGCTGCCTGGATCCTGTGGGGGCCGTGCAGTAGGCAGCCCATGGATGTTTCTCTCACATCTATGTCTCTCCCTCTCCCTTCCTCTTTAAAATCATTAGAAACATATTTTTAAAAAGAAAAAGGAAGAAAGTAGGCTATTTGGTGCATAGCCAACGTGATAAGGGTATGGGGTTGGTAGTAGTGAATGAAATCAGTTTTCTTTTTCCTTTTTTTCTGCCACACCAAACTGCTTTCACTTTATTCTTCTATTTATACATTCTCCTGCTCCCTGATTTGGAAGCAGACCATGATGTAAGCTTGGCAGTCCTGCTCAGATCCTTTATCAGAATCTATCAGCTTGCCTTTCTCCATCCCCCACCCACCCCAACTCAGGCTCCCTGTCCAGTAGTCCTGAGGGTAAAAAAACAGAGATAGAATGTGCTGACTCTCGCCAGCCCCCTGCCCCAACTATGAGAGAGCCATCCTGGATAGAAAGGATGGAGGTCCCAGCGAAGAACAAGGCACGGGCCACCTCAGCGTGGCCATTGGTTTGTTCAGATTTGGGTAGTGTGCTGGCCTGGAATTGAAGGTTGCAGAGCCTCCAACTGACTGAGAAGGAATGGAATATAAGGGCGCTGCAGGGGGTCCACAGTCATCATCGAGGCCAGCAGCTGCCGCAATGCTGAAGAATGCCTGGGGCTCTGTGGGATGCTGAGTTGGTTCTGTACAGCCAGGGCCACACTGTCACCCTTCTGAAACACCATGTCATAAGGGCCTTCCCCAAACATCATAGCATATAGCACACAGCCTAGGGACCAAACATCAGTCCGCTCATCAATGACACATTGGCTCTGCACAGAGAAAAGCTCCGGGGCCCGGTAGGAAATGGTGCACCGCTGGGCTGCCCAGTCCTGCAGGGCCAGAGCTTGGCGGGAGCTTTCCACGTGGATGCGTGCTTGCTTCATGGAACCCAAGTCCATTAAAACTGGCTGCCCCTCATCTCCAAGTAAGATATCGGTGGGCTTCAGATCCCTGTGGGCATAACCCCGAGCATGAATGGCTTCAAGGCCCCTGCAAATACCCAGCAACAGCTGAAGGATTTCATCTTCAGTCAAGAAGTTGCCTTTGTCTTTCAGCCTTTCTATCTCATTCCACGGCGTACCTCCCTTCAAGTAAGGTAGTAGCAGCCAGGCCTTGTGTTTTGTGCCCTGCTCCTTCAGACAGTAAGCCACGAGGCGAAGGATGTTGGGATGATTGAAGAGGCGATGCATATCTGCTTCTTGCTGGGCCTCCTTCACATCCTGCTGCTCATGACACAGGATTCGCTTCAGTGCGTAGAAGTGTCCATCATGAAACCCCTCCACTAGGTCCACATAGCTGAACCCACCCTCCCCCAGTTTCTGGATGAAGAGATAGCGCTTATTGTCAATGGTGACAGTTCCCGGCGAGCAGATACACAGCGCGTGGCCCATAGCGTCTCAGTCATCCTCCTCAAGGACGGTGTTAGGTGCCAAAGCGTTGGTCCAGGTTAAGTGGGCTCTTCCGGGCGATGCGCTGGGGGTCCAGTGGATCATGCTGGCTTGGGCAGCAGGGAAGCGCCAGGGACCTGAAATCAGTTTTCAGTTATTCAATGTAACATCCTTTGACCTTTGCTTTAGAGTAGACCCTGTTTTGGGCCTGGGATAAAACACCTGGGATCATGACTTCCAGAAACCTAGGTCGGAGCAGACGAACTTGTTTAAAAAAAGAAAGTCATTATGATACAAGTGTTGTCACTCAAGATGTTCTCTTTCCTGGGGCTTCTAAGGATGGAGGCAGTAATTGGGGCAGTATCTGGAAGGTTCTTTGAAGAAGTAACATTTGAGTTGAGTCTTGAAATTTTAGTAGGAAATTGCTAGGTGAGTGGTCAGCAAGCTCATTAGTCAACAGAGCCAAATATCAACAGTACAATGATTGAAATTTCATTTGAGAGCCAAATATTTTATTTTATTATTTTTTTAATCAATCTTTATTGTTCATATTATTACAAAGGTTCCTCATTTCTTCCCCCCTCCACCAGGTTCCCACCCCACCCTCAGCCCCCTTCCCCTCCCACATTGTCCTCATCCATAGGTGCACAGTTTATGTTCAGTCTCTTCCTCCCTCCCTTTCCCCGATAGTAAATCCCTTTTCAGATAGTAAATCAGTTACTTAGCATTTTCTCATATCAATAATACCTCCACATGCCCAAAGATACACTTCACACAAAAGACATTTCCAAATAGGTCAACCAACCTCATCCAGGCCCCGCACAAGGCACTCACAGATCAACACCCCAGCGCTATACTAACTCAACATATCCAGATCTAAGCCTTCATTACTTGATTCAGCAGACCCTCAGGTTCCCGCAAAAGTTTCCAGCCATGTCTGAGAGGCAGCCTTGGGGCGGGGCTAGGCGAGGAGCGAGCTGTTCCGGGCCTGGCTGCTCCGGGCGGGCCTCTGTTGCTCTGGTTCGTTCCACAACCAGCTGCTCCGGGTCTGGCCCCTGCAGCTCCTGACCTGGCTTGGCTGCTGCTGCTCCGGGCTTGGCTGCTGCTGCTCCGGGCCTGGCCGCACCCGACCCGGCAGCTCCGGGCATGGCTGCTCCCAGCCTGACAGCCGCTGCTCCAGGCCTGGCCACACCCGACCCAGCTGCTCCAGGCCTGGCCAGAGAGCCAAATATTTTAAACTTAAACTTATTCTAACACCACTTCTTCAAAAGAGACTCACCCAGGCTGTGGTATTTTGTGGAAGAGCCACACTCAAGGAGCCAAAGAGCCACATGTGGCTCAAGGGCCGCAATTTGCCAACCACTGTGCTAGGTGAATGAACAGTGAAGCCGGAAGCAGACGATTCTGATATCCAGGACTGCCTGGGTGAAGGGTGAAAGAACAGGCTTCATTGAGATCTGGGTAATGGAGGTATGATGGAGGGAGCAGACACTGATTTTTAAATTGCAGTCCATGACCTGTTAGCAAATTATGAATAAGTCCCAACCAGCATTTTAAGAAAGTAATAGAATAAAAATTATTATAGTGATCCTGCTTGTACTGTCTCTTGCAGCTTTTAGTGTTCTTATGTGGATATATGTGTTTGTACTGGTACAATGTATTTCATGCTATGGGCATAATAAAAAAACACATTTGAAGATCATTATGATAGATACTAGTAGGAATTTAATTGGAGAAGATCAATTATGGTCAAACAGTGACATGACCTCAAAGAGTTTGGAATTTACCCTCTGGAAGGTCCTGGATGATTTTGGCATGCTCTCATTTGTGTTAAGATGACAGGCCACAATGTGGAAGATAGCTTGGAAGGTAGACACTGGAGGCTGCATAGCTGATTGAGAAGTTGTTGCAGTGGTCCCAGGATGGAGTGAACATACCTCTCTCAGACTGAATTAGGGGTCCATCCTCCATGCTCTCTCAGCATTCAATATGTCCAGTATCTTAACATTTATGGTACAATTTGAAATCAGTTGTTCACTGCTTTATATTCATCACTATGCTCGGTGCCCCAGGATGGCAAGGATGGCATCTGTTTTTTCATTGCTGTTACTTTATTGCTTTTAGAATACAATTCAGAATTCATGACAGAAACTACAAAGTCCTGGTACCTCTCTCCCTTAATTTCCTACCACATTCCTCTCTTTTCCTTGATGCAGCTACAGAGACTTTCAGTTCAAATTTGACAAGTCCTTTCCTTTCTCAATTTCTTTACTTTCTGCTGGGAACCCCCCCCCCCCCCCTTCGTTCATAAATCTTTCTAGTTCACTTTCCTCCTCCAGTTCTCAGAAATTTTATTTCTTCAAAGAGGTTTTCCAGAACCCAATCTAAATACTCTCATTTCTCTCACTTTTCCTCCCACTTTATCTGTACTTTTCTATTTCTGTTTGCTTTTTTAATATCTATGTCTTTTACTAGACCTAGGGCCAGCACATACCAGACACTCAGTGATCAGTTGTTGAATAAATGAACTTCTGACTGAATAATAAACCTGTTAACTGGGTCAAAGAACACAGGGCAGGTGGTAGGTGGCAGATTGGATTGGGACACAGTTTGAGGGATCTTCAGGCCACCTGGAAGAGATGGCTAAGAAACAATTTTAAGTATAGGCCTGGCACCCCTTAGTCTAGTATGAGCATCTATCTCTTACCCATCCCCCTTTCATCCCTCTAACCAGAAGCAATTACTTCTTCTCAATTCATTTTGAACTTACTCTGTATGATACTTCACAGACAACTTTTCCCTTAATTTTATTTGTTGGCAAGCATATTATCTCAATTTTATTGTGCTCCATCAATATAGAATATTATGTAGAATGTAGGACTGTCATATATATTCTGCCTTTTGATCTGTTTCAGGCCCATCTTGTGTATTCCCCACAGTCTCTAACAAAGTGGCTTGAAATAGTTGAAACTAAATATTTGATGAATGCATGAATGACTAAATGATCATGTCCCCATTATTTTCTTTCTCTTTTTCACTGGTTGTAATTCTCCTTAAAGATTTTTCTTCTCCTCCCCCTTTTTTCTCCAGATTTCTATATGATTGTATCCTTGAGATTTAAAATTTTTTTTCCTGTAAAATAAAACTGAGGTGCCCTAGCCAGTTTGGCTTTGGCTCAATGGATAGAGCATTGATCTGTGAATTGAAGGGTACTAGAGTTCGCTTCCAGTCAAGTGCACATGCCCGGGTTGTAGGCTCAATCCCCAGTAGGGGGCGTGTAGGAGGTGTGTAGGAGGCAGCCAATCAATGATTCTCTCTCATCATTGATGTTTCTATTTCTCTTTTCCTCTCTGAAATCAATAAGAATATATTTTTAAAAATAAAACTATATTTTATCCTATCTAATAAAATAGTGATATGCAAATTAACCATTACTCCGCTACACCCACAAGCCACTCACCAACCACATCCACCATTTATAAAGGTATTCATAGACTGGAAGACTTAATATTAAAATAGCAACACTCCCCAAATTGATCTGCAGATTCAATGCAATTCTTATAAAAATTCCAAGTCCCATTTTGCCAAAATGGACATACTAGTTCTAAAATTCATACAAAAACACAAGACACAGAATAGCCAAGACAGTCTTGAGAAAGAACAAGTGGAAGACTCACACTTCTGAATTTCAAAATTTATTACAAAGCTATAATAATGAAGAAAGTATGATACTGGCATAAGGATAGACATGCAGATCAGTAGAACAGAATTAAAAGTCTGGAAATAAGAACATACATTTATGATTAACTGATTTCCAAAAAGGTTACCAAGATCATTCATTTGGGAAAAGAATTGTTTCTTCTGTATGGTGCTGGCAAAACTGAATATCTATATGCAAAAGAAGAATTTGGACCCCTACCTTACACCACACACAAGAAATACCTAAATGTAAGAGCTAAAAATATAAAACTTTTAGAAGGAAATACATGTTGTAAATCTGTGTGATCTTGGATTAGGCAACGGTTCTCAGGTATGACACTAACAGCACAAGAAATCAAAGAGGGATAGGTTGAACACTATCAACATTAAAAACTTTTATGCATCAGGAAACACTAAGAAAAAATGGAAAAGAGCTTACAGAATGAGAAAAAAAATATTTGCCAATCTGATAAGAACCTAATATCCACAATACATAAAGAACACTTAAAACTCAACAACAAGAAGACATAAGACTGTTAAAATGTGGGCAAATGATTTGAATAAACACTTCTCCAAGGAAGATATACAAATGGTTAGTAAGCACCTGAAGAGTTGCTCAACATTATTAGTCATTGGGGAACTACAATATAAAACCACAATGAGACACCACACATAGGATGATTATAATAAAGACAGAAAATAACAAATGTTGGTTAGGAAGTAAAGAAAATAGAACACTCATAGATTGCTGGTTGGATTATAAAATGGTATATGCTTGGCCAGCGTGGTTCAATGGTTGAGCATTTACCTATGAACCAGGAGATTACGGTTGGATTCCCAATCAGGGCACATGTCTGGGTTGTGGGCTCAATTCCCAGCTGGGGGCATGCATGAGGTGTCCGATCAATGATTCTCTTTCATCACTGATGTTGCTATCCATCTTTCCCTTTCTCTTCCTCTCTCTGAAATCAATAAAAAAATTAAATTAAAATAAAATGGTACAGCTTCTGTGGAAAACAGTTTGGCAGCCCTCAAAAATTTAAATATATAGTTACCATATGACCCAGCAATTCCATTTTAGTTATATACCCAAGAGAACTGAAAATATTCACACAAAAGCCTAAGCACTAATGTTCATAGAAGCATTATTCCTAATAGCCAAAAAGTAGAAACAACCCAAATGTTCACCAACTAATGAATGTATAAACAAAAAGTGATACATCTATAGATTCTATACAATGGAATATTATTCAGTCATAAGAAGGAATAACATTGATGCATGATACAGCATGGCAGAATCTTGAAAGCATACTAAATGAAAGAAGGTAGACACTAAATGTTATATATTGTCCGTTCCCATTTTTATGCAATGTCCAGAATAGACAAATACATAGAGAAAGTAGATTAGGGTTCTAGGCATTCCATGGGTGGAAGGAAGGATGAGAGCTACTGTTAGAGTGAATGGAGTATTTTTTCTGGGTGATGAAAATGTCCTGGAGTTACATAGGGTGATGGTTATATATTGTGAATATATTTTTTAAAAATAACACTGAATTGTACACTTTAAAATTGTAAAATTTATGATATGTGAATTATATATCTGTTAAAAAAATGTAAAAACAAAACAAAACACCATGACTGAAGGAAGGGTCAGATTTGGGTAATAAATTTGGGAGTCATTGATAGAGGCAATTATTTAAGGAGCGGGAGATGATATGCTTGTAGAATTTTTCTGCAGTGATGCAAATGTCCTATATCTGTGCTGTCTAATTGAGTGTTTAAAAATAATAAATATGTATGTAAAACAATCAGAAGAGCTGTATACCAAACTGTCATAGTGCTTCCCTTAGAGAGTTAAGAAACAGCTGGCTCTGGAGTATAGGCTTAGAGCAACTAGTTAATCTCTTGACACCTTTTTTGACCTTTAAAACAGTAATAACAGATTTTGTTCTGTTTTCAAAAGTTAACTTGTTACATGCAAGACCTCCTGCTGCACCGCTGGCTTTGGGAGGCATTCAGTGTGTTCCCAGTGAAAGCACTCTCAGGAGCACAGAAGACAGTGCAAGGGGTGCTCTCCTGAGTCCTGCAACCTGAGGGCGCCATGCTAGGAAAGCATCTCTGAGAATCTCAACAAATGTAAATTCCTTTCTCTGCCCCAGGGAAAGGGCCCTCACATCCCTCGGCTTCAAAGTTCAGATAGTTTGAAAATAACCTTAAAATTATGCAGAAGTAAAGCTGTCTGTGTTGTTATTAACTAATCATGAAAACAGCATAGCCACAGCAGCACCACATGGCTTCTGACTGTGAACCTGTGCCTATAAAGAGGCCGCCCTTCTCCAGCCTTCCCCAACCCACCATAGTTTCCCCACCATCAGATAATCTCTCGACAGAAAAGAGAATTGTCTCAAATTGGCTTGAGCTCCCTGCCTGGTCTGTTGGGCTGGCTTTTCTAGTTTCTAGGGCTAGGCCTGAAGTGGGGCAATGGAATTTTAGGTCAGCCCTAAAATAAATATAATGAAGTCCCTGTTTTTATTGTCAGTGATGTGGTTCACCAGAAAACTGACTGGAACAGCATCCACGAGAAGATCTGTCAGCTGCTGATTCCGCTGCGCACCACCATGCCCTTCTACAATTCAGAGGAGGAGCGGCAGCATGGGCTCCAGCAGCTGCAGAAGAGACAGGTGGGCCTGCGGGGCCGGCTCAGGCTAACGTCTGGGAGCAACGGAACTGCCCAGGAGAGAGGGCGCACTGGATTGAGATCACTAACCTGTAATCTCTGTGAGGGCAGAGACTTGGTTTTGCATTTTTACGTCCTCAGTGCCATTCAGTCGGTTCTCCACATACTTGCTGAGTATCTGCTGTGGTCTCCTTGGGCCGCCATAACGAAGTACCATAGATTGAGGGGCTTGAAACACAGAAATGTGGTCTCTCACCATTCTGGAAGCGATAGGACCAAGATCAATGACAGGTGTTGACAGGTTTGGTTTCTTATGAGGCCTCTCTCCTCCTGGTTTACAGATGGTTGCCTTGCCATGTCCTCATGTGGTCTTTCCTCTGTGCACACACAAACCTTGGCATCTCTTCTTGTGTCCAAATTTCTTCTTATAAGGACACCATTGGGTTGGATTAGGGGCCATCCTGAAGGCCTCATCTTAACTTAATCCCCTACTTAAAGGCCCTATCTCCAAGTGCAGTCACATTCTGAGGTTATAGGGGTTAGGGCTTCAATCTATGAATTCTGGGGAATAAAATTCAGCCATAATACCCATGTATGTCAAGTATTCTGATAATTGCCGAGGCATGTAGTGGGAGGTCAATAATGATGCTTGAATATATAAAGGAGTAAATAAATAGAGGAGGTTAGGAAAACTATTATGGCATTGATAACATCTCATTTTTTTTTCTTTAAAAAATAGCACTTTATAAGCCATTAATCTCAAAACACCAGATTCATCAATTTTTGTATTGTCACACTTTGAGAGTGGCCTTAGAACAATGACCTTAGAGTAAACTTGTTTCTGATAGTAGCTAAGCAGGATAACTCCAGAAGGAAAATACTCTTAAAATTAATTCAAACAGAAAGGCAGATAGTTTTAGATAGTTCTGAGGCATGATAGTTTTATTAAACTAAAATTTTTAATATAAATAGAAGAATAATACTCATTTAATAATTTTCTGTTGAGCCCTCATTTATGTCAAGTATGGAACTAAGATGAAAATACACTTGTTTCTGGATCTTAAGGAACTCACAGTGCAGAGTTTGCCTTTTTGTGTCACTTATTCTAGGACTTGTGGCCAGCTTAATGCAGGCAGGCTTACTATCTGTGTAAGCCCTCACCCAGCTCATTAAGTATTGGCCTTATATCCAGGTATCCCTATATCCACTATTGTCTTTTACTTGTAGACTGACTACTTTTTTCTTCCACAGAAGCACTTGATTGAATTCTGCTACACTGTAGCCCAGAAATATATCTTTGAAGAAAGGTATAAAGAGGCTGTCCCAGCAGCTTTGCATTCTCTTCGCTTCCGCATGAATGTGTACGGCCTGAGTTCAGTAGAGCTTGTGCCTGCCTACCTGCTGTTGGCAGAGGCTAGCATTGGTAAGTGGAAATGACTTACCCGCTGGAGTCATATCAGAAGCCAAAGAATCTAGCCTTGGTAACCTTTTGTGCAAGAGCAGGGCTGCTGAAAAGTTTGGCACAAGATGGGGAAGGAGATGTCTTGAACTTTCGGCTACACCTGACAAATCCTCTCTAGCTGACCTAAGCAAAAGGAGGAAATGTATCAGGACGCTGGCGTGTCCAAAGGGAATTGAAGCACCATGAGGTACTAGAATCAGAATGCTGTAACAAAGAAAGGCTGGTGCTCGCAGCTTGTATTATATTTCTGGGGCCTCGTCTCTTGCCTCTGCTTCTCCATATCTGCAGACCAGATTTTTCTACCTTATGCTTACTGCAGGAGACAGATAGCCCAGAATGTCAGGTAGAGCTGGATGTACGCGTTCTCCAGGTTCAAGGTGGGTAATAGAAACTAATTAGCATCTGATTTCCAATTTTATTTATTTATTTATTTATTTATTTATTTATTTATTTATTTATTTAATATATTTTATTGATTTTTCACAGAGAGGAAGAGAGAGGGATAGAGAGTCAGAAACATCGATGAGAGAGAATCATTGATCAGCTGCCTCTTGCACACCCCCTACTGGGGATGTGCCCGCAACCAAGGTACATGCCCTTGACCGGAATCGAACCCAGGACCTTTTAGTCCGCAGGCCGACGCTCTATCCACTGAGCCAAACTGGTCCCGGCTGATTTCCAATTTTAAATTCCTAAAGAGAGAATTGTGTTGACTCAGCTTGAGGGTGATATCTATCTACTTTTGAGTCTGGGTATTGTAGTTCAAACAGGAATACAGGAACCTGCTCCTATAGATGAGAGGGAGTTTTGAGAGTGGGGAGCATACCCTTGGCAGATATTCCTTGTGGTTTTTACAAGAGGGGCATTAGCATTTTTTAGGGGAATTAACATTTTTTAGTATCTACAGTATATCATCCTACATAATAAAAGAGTAATATGCACATTAACCATCACTCCGCTACACTCCGCAAGCCACGCTCATCAGCCACACCCACCTGTCAATCAGAGCGAGTATGCAAATAAACCCAATCAAGATGGCTACGGCCACAGAGAGCAGGAGGAAGGCTTGGGTTTCTCAGGCAACGGAAGAAGCTAAGCTTTCCGACCGCCCTTGCTGGCCTAGGCCTCCACTCCAGGCTACAAAGTTTCATTTATAGAAGGTAAATACAAACAGAAATGACTGCAGCCTCTGAGCGAGCAGGAGGCTTGGCTCCGCTCCAGGCTACAAAGTTTCAATTGTAGAAGGTAAATAAATTCCAGATACCAGGGCCTCCGCTTGTGTCACCAGGGGGTGTGGTTGGCCTGCAAACCACCAGAGGCCCCTTGCTCAGACTGCCCCATGCCCCAAGGGAACCCCCACCCTGATCTGGGACACCCTTCAGGGTAAACCAGCTGGCCCCCGCCCATGCACCAGGCCTCTATCCTATCGAATAAAAGAGTAATATGCAGCCGAAACCGGTTTGGTTCAGTGGATAGAGCGTCGTTCTGCAGACTGAAAGGTCCCAGGTTCGATTTCGGTCAAGGGCATGTACATTGGTTGTGGGCACATCCCCAGTTGGGGGTGTGCAGGAGGCAGCTGGCCGATGTTTCGCTCTCATCGACATTTCTAGCTCTCTATCCCTCTTCCTTCCTCTCTGTGGAAAATCAATAATATATATATATATTTTTTTAAAAAAGAGTAATATGCAGATGGGCCATCACTCTAACACACAAGATTGCTGCCCCCATATGGTCAAAGATCCTGTCCCCATGTGGACACAAGATGGCCACTACAAGAAGGCCATCAGGGGAGGGGTGTTGGGAGGCACCAGGCCTGCAAGGAAGGGCAATTGGAGGCGATCAACCCTGCAGGGGAGGGCAGTAAGGAGTGACCAGGTTGGCAGAAAAGGGAAGTTGGGGCAAACAGGCTGGCAGGGGAGCAGTTAGACATCAATCAGGCTGGCAGGGAGTGGTTAGGGGGTGATCAGGCTGGCAGGCAGAAGTGGTTAGGGGCAATCAGAAAGGCAGGCAGGCCAGCAGTTGGGAGTCAGCAGCTGGTTTATGAGATCGGGCCTAAATGGGCAGATGGACATCCCTTGAGGGGTTCCAGATTGGAGAGGGTGCAGGCTGGGCTGAGGGACACCCCGACCCATGCACGAATTTTGTGCACCAGGCCTCCAGTTTTGAAATAATTTCTCAATCTTTCCTTGATGCCGGTAACTTTTATTTTTTAAATATTAAAAGCCAATTATTTTATAAAATGTCCCTCAATTTGGGTTTCTCTGAAGTTTCCTCCTGACTAAATGCAGATGATGTATCTTTGGCAGGAATATCATAGAAGTGATGCTGTGTTCTTCTCATCCCATCCCATAAATGGGCACATGTTTTCAATTTATTCCATTACTGATGATGATCATTTAAGTTACTTCACTCTTTCAAAGTATACTTCAGCATTTTTTTCGTAAAATATACTTTTATTGATTTCTGAGAGGAAGAGAGGGGGAGAGAGAGATAGAAACATCAATGATGAGGGAGAATCACTCATCGGCTGCTTTCTGCAAGCCCCTTACTGGGATCAAGCCCACAACCCAGGCATGTACTCTTGACAGGAATCAAACCCAGGTCTCTTCAGTCCACAGGCTGATGCTCTATCCACTGAGCAAAACCAGCTAAGGTTAATTCAGCAGTTTTAATAATATTCAGAAGATTGTGCAACCATCACTATGTTTAATTCCAGAGCATTTTAGTTAACCCAAATGGAACCCAGTATCCATATTAGCAGTCATACCATTTTCCCATACCCACATTTCCTGGCCACCACTAATCTACCTCTGTCCCCATGGATTGGCCTTTTCTGGACATTTCATATAAATGAATCATACAATATGTGGCCTTTTGTGTCTGGTTTCTTTTACTTAGCATATGTCTTCCAGGGTCATCCATGTTGTAGCATATCAGTACTTGATTTTTTTCCATGGCTGAATACTATTCCATTCATGGATACAAATAGACCACATTTTGAATATCTACCCATCACTTGGACATTTAAATTGTTTCTATTTTTTTTGTCTATTATGATTAGGCTGCTATAAATTTTCATGTATAAGTATTTGTGTGTCGATACATGTCTGAGTTATGAATAAGTGTGTGAATGCATGATGACATATTTCATTATGTGTTTTCTGGCCAGGATATGAATTACAACCTTCTTTTGATATTTTGGACAGGTCTAGACCAGATCATCCAGGCTGAGGAATATCTATCCCAAGCCCAGTGGACAGTCCTCAAATCAACTGATTGTTCTTATGCCACCCATTCTTTACTGCATCGGAACCTGGGACTTCTCTTTATAGCTAAGGAAAACTACGATGAAGCCCGTTATCATCTGGCCAATGATGTAAACAATCTAAATTATAACACCTGTTTAGTTTTTTTTTTGTTGTTTGTTTTTTTCAACTGAGCATTTCTCTATAACTTTTTGTCTACACCTGACTGGTTGGGTATTATTAACAAGAACAAAATTTTAAAAATATTTTAAAAAATTATTGATTTTTTTTAGTGAGAGAGGAAGGGGAAGGAAGAGAAACATTGATGTGAGACTAAGACATTCATTGGCTGCCTCCTGTATGCCCACTACTGGGGATCTAGCCCACATGTGCCCTGACCAGGAATCAAATTAGTTATCCTTAGATACACAGTATGATGCTCCAAACAACTGAGCCACTTTGGCCCAGCAAGAACATAATTTTAACAACCTGAGTTCAAACCTTCCTGGCTGTGCAGTCTTGCCCAGATCACATCATTTCGCTAAGCCTCAGTTGCTCTGAGGAAAATAAAGGGAGGCAGACAGAGTACTAAGAGAAGGGTTTTACTTCTAGTTCCAGTTCTGACCAGCCATATAGTCTTAGACAAATTATTTAACCTCTTTCATCACCTTTAAGAGAGAAATAATGAAATGGTCTCAGAGATAAATAATAGGACAATGCATATGCAGCACTTTGGCTGTTATTTTTATAAATAATATCAATATCTCTACTTCAAAGTATGGTTATTACATTTCAATGAGCTGGTGGTATGTGAATGTGCTTTGTAAACTACAAAACTCTGTTCAAATGTTAAATGGGATAATAAGGGTGATGATTGAGCAGTTCTTCCAACATTTCTGAGCTTTCTATTAGGATTTTAGTATTGGACAATATTACCAGAGAGAATAGTTTCGGAGTCTGAAATCTGGATGAGGTTAGGGTCAGACTGCAGTCTTCATGCAGGTTGGTTCTCTCTTCAGCCTCTCTACTGGGCAACCCTCCCTCTGGTTGGCTGCCACTGTACAATGTCCATAGAGTCAATGGAGACATCTTGTGACGATTAAGCTCCATATCCCCTCACCCCAAATCCATTTGCTGCCCTAGCCTGTCCTGGGAGGCTTACCTTTATGGACTACACGACCTGGACTCCATTGCTCTGGCTTTGGTTTGGAGAGTGAGAGACGTGGCCGGAGACTGAAGGCTGGGAGGAGAGAGAGGCTGGGGTATTTCCTTTCTTCCCCACCCCAGTTCTGGCAGGGAAATTGTTCCTTATGACTCTTGTCAGGTAGCCTTCTTTCATGGCTCTAGATATTACTGGGCGCTCATAACCCTGCTTTCTCCCCTTGCTTTTTCAGGAATCAGGATGGTAAAAATTTCTTGCTGTTGATAATCCTGGTGCCTCCCTAGTTCTTATTGGTTCCCTAACCCTTCCACATCTCTGTAAATGATTGTTTTCATTAAAGTGTCTTCATGAAATATTTTGAGGATGCCATAGCTTTCCACCTATGAGCCTGACCAATGCACTTCTTCATCTGTGTTTCTCTGCACAAATAGACTCTATCTTCACCCTCTGACAAATTAAGCAAATGTTCATTCTGTCTTAAGGTGGGCCATACTGTTAAGAATGAGATCAAGCTCAAATTTCTCAGCCTCGCTTTAAAAAAAAAAAAAAAGAGGAAAGAAAAAAGACTAAAGAATAGATCAAGCCTGGGTGTCATGGCTCAGTGGCTGAGCATTAATATATGAACCAGGAGATCACGATTTGATTCCTGGTCAGGACACATGCCTGGGTTGCAGGCTCAATCCCTAGTGTGGGGCATGCAGGAAGCAGCCAATCGATGATTCTCTCTCATCATTGATGTTTCTACCTCTCTCTTCCTCTCTGAAATCAATTTAAAAATATTTTTAAAAAAAGAATTATTATATATCAAGCTCAGAGTCCTCAGCCTAACTTTTAAAAAAAAGAAAGAAAAAAAGTTTTATTGATACGTCTCATAAAATTCAACCACTTTAAGTGAATAATTAAATGACTTTTAGTAAGCTTACAGAGTTGTGCATTCATTAGCACAATCCAGTTGTAGGACATTTTTATCATCCCAATGAGAGCCCTAATATCCATTTTCATTCGTTTCTCATTCCCACCCCTGTCATGGGACGGGTACTGACCTGAGCAGGTCTGCCTCAGGCCAGCCTGCAGTGTGTGGGCTCTTGATTTGGTGTGGGAAAGATTTCACAATAGAACTCCGGGTGGTTTTGAGAGTGCGTTTATTCAAGCTGGGGACAGTGAAACAAACGAAGGACTTAGAATAGAAGAAGCAACAGGAGAGAGCCTAGGTGGGTAGCTTTGGCTCTCTAGGGGAAAGAAATTAGTCAAGGGGGGCCTGCTGTCCGCTCCCTGGAGAGTCAGAGAAAAGGGGGCCTTAGGGACAGGTTCAGGATGTTAGCCCAGGAAGTGCTGCTGCTGTCTATTGCTTCCCTGCTTGCAAGTGTGGTGGGGACCTTACAGTTATGGGGGAAATAAAAAGTTCATACCTGAGAAGGGACATCTGTGTGCTCCAGAGAGAGCACACTAGGTCTTCATCTTGAAGGTTTTCATCTTTCTTCTGGGGTGAGAATCTTAGGGGAGGGTTTCAGTAGAATATTCGTCAGCTTTCCAGATTTATTTTGTTATTGTTGTTAATCTTCTCCCGAGGATATTTTTTCCATTGATTTTTAGAGAGAGGGAATGGGAAGAAGGAAGAGAAGAAAGGAGAGGGAGGGAACAGGAAGAGAGAAAAAGAGAAAGAGATAGAGATGTGACTGTGACACATTAATTGATTGCCTCTCACACACGCCCCAGCTGGAGCCAGGGATCAATTCTACAACCTAGGTTCATATCCTTGTTTGGGAATTGAACCTGTGACCCTTCGATGTGCACCCAATGCTCTAATTACTGAGATACACTGGCCACGCACCAATGCATTTTTAATATGCTGTTGTATCAAGATGAGGTTATAGGGAAGTTTGAGATTATTCTTTAGTCTGCTTTACTGTTTCACTTTTATCTTGGGTTGGTCTGGCTCTAATCGGGTTTTTGTTATTTGTTCCCCTGACTTCACCTGTCCTTGGGTTTAGCTGGCATGAATGGCATTAACTGGATCTCCTGATCAGGATGATTTAAACTATGTACTCTCTGGTTAGGGAAGAGAGGTATAAACCCTTTGCTCTCAAGTGTCTTTGGTTGGGGAAGATAGTAGGTCTTGGGATTCACTAGCTGGCTGTTAGTTGTTGAAATTGTTTGGCCTTATTTAATTTTCTTGTTTAATCCCATCCTACTTGCCCAGGAATTTTCCTAGCTTCTTACTATCCCACCTCATCCCTGCCCCAGGCTACCACTTCCTGTTTCTCTAGGTTTGCCTTTTCTGGACATTTGATATAAACAGGATGCTATGTGTTTTTTTGCATCTGACTTCTTTCACTTAGCATAATTATTATTATTTTTAAAATATATTTTACTGATTTTTTACAGAGAGGAAAAGAGAGGGATAGAGAGTTAGAAACATCGATGAGAGAATCATCGATCAGCTGCCTCTTGCACACCCCTTCTACTGGGGATGTGCCCACAACCAAGGTACATGCCCTTGACTGGAACTGAACTTGGGACCTTTCAGTCCACAGGCCAAGGCTCTATCCACTGAGCCAAACCAGTTTTTGCAGCATAATTATTTTGAGATCCATCCATGTTGAGTGTATAAATACTTTATTCCTTTAATTGCTGAGTAGTAGTCCATCATCTGAATATACCATAGTTTAGCCATTCCTCAATTGAGGGACATATGGATTGTTCCCACTTTTGGCTATGCATAATGTTGCTAAGAATGTGTTGTTGTTTTTTTCCAGGTGATTTTTAGAGGATGTTTATTAAAGCTGGGGACCGTGAAACACGGAAGGGCCAAGGACAGAAGGAGCACAGGAAAGGGACTAAGTGGGAAAATGAGCCTAGGCTGGGCTGCTTTGACTCACTGAGAAGTGAGAGAAAAGGGTCCCTTGGGAACAGGAGAGGGAGTTGGCCCAGGACAAGCTGCAACTTCCCATTGCTCCCTGGTTGCAAGCCTCATGGGGTCCCTTAGAGCAGCAGTCACCAACCGGTGGTCTGCGGACCACTAGTGGTTAGTGAGGTCCAGAAGGTTGGCGACTGCTGCCTGAGAGCATGCCTGTAGAAGAGGAAAGGGAGGGGAAAGGTGTGGATGTGCTCTTGGGAGGGAGAGCATTCTCTCTCCACTAAGAATCTTTTTATACAAATCTTTGTCTGGACACGTGTTTTCATGTTCTTGGCATATAACTAAGAATGGAATTGCTGGGTCATGTAGTAGCTATATGTTTGATTTTTTGAGAACTGCCAAACTGTTTTCCACAGAGGCTGCATCATTCCATATTCATACCAGCAGTGTTCGAGGGCTTTATTTCCTCCACATCCTTGACAATATTTGTTGTATTCTGCCTTTTTCATTAGAGCCATTCTAGGGTGTGAGAAGTGGTATCTCATGGTTTTATTTTTCATTTTCTTTTTTTAAAATTGATTTTTTTTTTTTTTTTTTTTTTTACAGAGAAGAAGAGAGAGGGATAGAGTTAGAAACATCGATGAAAGAGAATCATTGATCAGCTGCCTCTTGCACACCCCCTACTGGGGATGTGCCCGCAACCAAGGTACATGCCCTTGACCGGAATCGAACCCGGGACCTTTCAGTCCACAGGCTGACGCTCTATCCACTGAGCCAAACCGGTTATGGCATTATTTTGCATTTTCTTAATGACTAAAAATATTGAGCATCATTTCTTATGATTTATTAGCCATAGGTACATATTCTTATAGACATGTCTCTTCAGACCCTTTGCTCATTTTTAGTTGGGCTGTTGTAAACATTCTTTGTATATTCTGGATATGAGTGTTTTTTTATTTTTATCAGATATATGATTTGCAAAGAGAACATAGGACTCACCTTTCTTCTTCTGCTGTAGATTTATTTTGCCAGTTGTGCATTTGGAACAGAGGGCACCAGGACCTCAGGAGGCTACTTTCTCCTGGCGAATATCTTCCTTGACCTTTCAAAGTTGGACCTGGCAGACACACTGTACACCAAGGTGAGCTAGGGAATATGGGAGCTGAGCTTTGACGCTTAGGGCTTGTACTTTATAACTGGTGTCAGGTCATTCATGAGAAATTTGAAGCACACAGATAAAGGGACTTGTCCAAGTTTACATAGCCTGATATATTCCATTCTCCCCCCGCCCTTCCCCCCTATTTCTCCACTACCAAAATAGTCCTTAGAATCCATAGGACAATTAACAAATAATAAGTGATGGGTTAATAGGAACCAAACCCCTCCAAATAGATTGCCATATGCTCTGTCATACTCACAGGACCAAGGAGCATGGGCATATTGAGGTTTGTGATAGAGAAGAAAATGAGATTTTAATGTATATTTTTACTGATTTCAGAGAGGAAAAGAGGAGAGATAGACCATCAAGGATGAGAGAGAATCATTGATCAACCGCCTCCTGCACACCCCGTATTGGTGACTGAGCCTGCAACTCAGCATATAACTTTGACCCTAATCAAAACCGGGACCCTTCAGTCTGCAGGCAGACACTCCATCCACTACATCAAACTGGCTAAGGCAGAAATGATATTTTAAAGGGAAAATTATGGCTAAAAAGTTATATGAATGGATCAAAAAATATGAGTGTACTTTGAAGTTTCCAGTTTTGCATGTGAAAGATTTTAAACTGCTTTTAGTATTTAAAATGTCAGTTATGTTTATAGAGTAACACCTCACTTAGTAAGCAACCATTTCTATGTGTGATATAAGCTTTCATCCTGTGACTGTTTATTCATATTTTAGGCCCCCTTTTTGAGGAAGAGGCACTGTAGTGTAGCTGAAAAGAAATGAGCTTCAGAGTCAGACAGACTTGAATTTAATTCTTGGCTGTGCCACCTACCAGCTTTTACCAAAAGCCAAGTACAATCTTAACATCGCTGAGCCTGTTTCTTTTTCTGTAAAATGGGAATAATAAGACTATGACCTCAGCTGGTGTTGTGAGAATGTAAAGGTTTAGTTATATGTGCTCAACAAATGATAGTCATTGTTATTAGACCCACCAGGGCTGTCCCCAGATCAGCCAGGTGCCCTTTGCAGCCCAAAACTTGGTCACACTCACTTTGGCCAGGCCTGTTTGGCTCCTAAGTCTCCTCTTCCCCTCCTCCCCTCAACTAGGCACAATGAGAGAAGGAGTCTGCAGATGGTTAAAGGTGCTGCCCTCCCAGCTGGCTGGTCCAATGACTTAAGACCTGGCCTGCTTGTCTGATTGTATCTTCTTTCCCAACAGGTCTGTGATATCTGGGATAAATATTTGAACAATCACTATCAAGTCCTCTCAGAGGCCCGCGTCCAACAAATAGATTTACTGGGCAAACGATTTGAGACTGACACTGGCTTAGGTAAGTGGCAGTTCTCCCTACGAAGCAGAGCAGTGACTTCCTCTCAATCATGGGCCTTGCACCGAAAATAGGGAGAGCTGCTGTGCCTGTCATGGAGCACGTGCCATCTCCCCCATATTGATTATGGGAAAACTGAGACAGGGGAGCAAAGGGATATTACCAGAATTCAGATTTCTAGCACCACACACAGCCTTTCAGGGGACACACTTGGAGGAGAGCCCACTGTGATTTCTTCAGAGCATCCATTTCTTTCCTTTTTTTAAAAAAAAAAAATATATTTTATTGATTTTGTACAGAGAGGAAGGGAGAGAGATAGAGAGTTAGAAACATCGATGAGAGAGAGTCATCTATCAGCTGCCTCTTGCACACCCCCTACTGGGGATATGCCCGCAACCAAGGTACATGCCCTTGACTGGAATCGAACCCGGGACCTTTCAGTCCCCAAGCCGACGCTCTATCCATTGAGCCAAACCAGTCCCGGCCAGAGCATCCATTTCTTATGTGTTATCCCTCCAAGGAACACAAGCCAAGGCTCATCACAGAAGTGTCATTACTCCATTGTCCTGATGCCTTACCCTCCTGCTTTCCTGGACAGTGAGCTCCTCAGTGGCAGTGCTGAGTCTGATTCATCTCACCATCCCCAGGCTCGGCAAAAGGCTGAGTGTTGAGTAACCCTGGACAATATCACTCCCTCTGAGATAATAAAGAGACAGAGGATCTAGCTTGTGCTAAAAAGTATAGTTGGTGAGACAGAGCCTATTTGAAATACCAAAATAAAATTCCTATGAGTATAAATTATATTATAAGCGGGGCCCAGAACAAAGAGGTGAGGAAGGTGTTGAAGGGGGAAGACTTCTTACAGGAGAGGTTTTGAGTTAAGGATTAAAAAATTAGTAACTTTGTTGAGCTTTCTCTTACGATAAAAGTGATTTATGTTAAAGCAGAAAACTTGGATAGCCAATCTTAATAGATATTATGGTATATATCCTTTCTGTCTGCTTCTCTAAGCTTAATACAGTATGTCCTCACTTAATGTCTTTCATAGGTTTTTGGAAATGGACTATAGGCTAATTGATACAAATGAGAGTTAGTGGTCATGAAAACATCATCAAACTCCTAAATAAAGACCCAAAACACTTCTGATATTAAACTCTGAAATAAATGTGAGCTAGCCATACATTTAAGAAATATTAAATAAAAACTATCAAGATAATTCTTTTCCAACCTGCTTATTCCAGTTCAAGGTCGCAGGTGACTGGAGCCCATCCTGGCAATTCAGGGCCCAAGACAGAGCCAACCCTGGACAGGATGCCACTCCCTCAAAGGGTGTACTCACACACACACACCTACATTCACTCAGACTGGGACAATTTAGGCATGCCGATCACCTATGGGAACATCTTTGGGCTGTGGGAGAGAAACTGAGGACCAGGAGAAACCCACATAGAAGTGGGGGGACATGCTATAATAACTCCACACAGAGAGTAGCTTTGACTGGGAATCAATTTTTTCCCCCTCATCAATGTTATAATGAAGTGATGTCTAACAAAACAATGTTATTTGGGACTTGCTATACTTAAAAAAGTACTTTTAAGTATCTGGCTCATAATAACTCATAATCGGTATATATAAAAGTGACCAACTGACTGGCCAGTACATATGACGCACACTGGAAATTTAAAAATAAATGTTGACTCGTGCAGATGTGATACATATAAAGCTCTCAGAATGGATATTATTGAAATCCCCTGTGAAATTATTTATAATGGATCTATTATTGAAGCTACCTTTGGAAATAGCATACCTGTAGATAATATTAAAAATATATCTAAACATGCAATTCTTTGTCTTAAAAATTAGCACTCTCATAAATTAAATGAAGAAATTTTGGATATACTCGATGGAGATTTTCATACCTATTTGAGTGATGATTCCATCAATTCAAAAGATAATGCCTACCTGGGACCGGTTTAGCTCAGTGGATAGAGCCTTGGCCTGCCGACTGAAAGGTCCCAGGTTCGATTCTGGTCAAGGGCATGTACCTTGGTTGCGGGCACATCCCCAGTAGAGGGGGTGTGCAAGAGGCAGCTGATCGATGATTCTCTCTCATCGATTTTTTCTAACTCTTTATCCCTCTCTCTTCCTCTCTGTGAACCAATAAAAATAAAAAAATAAAAAAAAGATAATGCCTAAAAGGAAAATTTTCCCATCAAATTTCTTAATAGAATTACTCCTTTGGGAATGCTGTATCATAAATTAAAATTGAAAGTAGGTGCAATCATCATGCTACTGAGAAATCTTAATAATAAATGGGGTCTTTGTAATGGTACAGGATTTATTATGAAAAGACTGCTACCTAACATAATCAAAGCTGAAGTATTATCAGGATCTGGGGAAGGAGAGGTTGTTCTGATTCCCTGTCTGACGCTGGCCTCCCATTTAAATTAATTCGAGACAGTTTCCCGTGATGCCAGCATTTGCAATGACTATTAATAAATCACAGGGACAAACCATAGATAGAGTAGGAATATTCCTACCTGAACATTTTGGGACATGGTCAGTTATGCGTTGCTTTCTCTCAAGTTCGAAGAGTGTGTGACGTTAAAGTTAAAGTTGTAAATACTTTATTACAAAGGAAATAACCAAGCACTCTTAAAGTGTTTTTACTCTTACTGTAGTGGACAGGGAGATATAAGAATATTACTAATCAATTTATAAGTCAATGTTTTTATCAATGTTTATCAATATAGAATATTATTGTTTTTATATTGTCTTTGTTGTTATATCATGCTGTTATTGTTTTTGAATCAATTTATATAGTATTTCTGTATACATTTTACTAATTTTCTTAAAATTTCTGACACTTCTATTATAAAGAAAGGGCAAATAGCAATATTAAAATATTTCTTGTTATTAATTTCCTTTCAGTGTGCACAAATCTGTGCACCAGGCCACTAGTAAGTCACTAAATGATGACTAAAGGAGAACCAAAAACTGCTGGCGGAAATTGTAAATAGCCTCCCCAGGGAAAGCAGAAAGGCTATTGCTTAAGCATCTTTGGAGTTGGGGAGGAAGAATTAAGATGCTGCACCTGCAAGAAGCCCCCTCCCCCCTCTTGCTAGAGAGTGGAAGCTGAGTTGGGCCACTGGGACAAATCCCCAGTGTTTGGGAGCCTAACAGATTCACTTCAGGGCTGGGACTGAGCATTTGTTTAGGTTTCTCTCATAATGACATGCTAGGCAAGGCCGGGAGCTGCCTGGAACTGCTCAGTATGCGGCAGCTGCCCTCCAGGTGGAGAGTTTGCTGTGCTTTGCACTGCCTCCACCAGCATTGCTGTGAGGAGGCTTCTGGAGGCCAGGTGCCCACAAAGCTCAGTACTTACCACAGAGGTTAGACTCAGACGCCTCCGGGACCTGTTTCCTCTTTCCCTCCTTTCCACTACAGATGAAGCCCAGGAAGCAGAAGCCATTCGGATCCTGACTTCAATCTTAACCATTCGAGAGTCTACGCCTATCAAAGTTCCCCTAAAAATTGTCTTCGTTCTGAGAGTCCTGGCCATGCTTTACTACCTGATGATGAATTCTTCAAAGGCAAGTTTCCCTAGAAAGTCAGCATGTCCGAAATTGAGATAGAAACCCCTCTAGTTGAATCCAGCTGTGTTCTGCCCAATTGCATTAGCTTTTGCCCTAAGAGTAAGTCCCTACTCCAGAAAAGCCCAGAGGCTCACTCCAGGTTTTGTTTGTTGAATCCAGCCTGCCTAATGGAAACTGGAATGTCTTCTTTCCTCAAGGGGTCCTTCCCAGAATTGCAGAGGTAAACGGAGGCAGGGGCAGTATTAGGAAGCCTGCAGGGCCTGAGGTCTCTGAGGAGTCCTTCCAGGGATGGGGTAGTAGCATTAACTACACTCAGCGAGTTCCTTCGGGTTGGCAGCCTACTTATGGCCCTGTCATCCCTCTGCCTTCCAGTGCTGGTTCACAGGGCTCCAAGTAAGATCCTCTAAAGATCTCACTTTGCTCTGAAAGTGTACTTAGTTTGTCAAACCAGGTGACTTTTTCCGGTGTCCCCTTCCCCACCCAGCACACATGTGGCTAGCTCTAAGGACCCAGTAGGTGTTCACAAGTTTCCAACAAGAGCTCAGTGGCTGGTGTGAGAAGCTGACGGATCCTTTCCGTCTGTTTCTGGGGTTGAGCACAGACGGGGCTTCCCAATGTAACGCTTCTTGTGACAACTTCCTTTCGTCACTGCAATTCTATTCCAGGCACATGAATATGCCATGAGAGCCTTCAATATAGTTCAAGAAAGTCAGCTCGGTGCCCAGGAACAAAACCTCATTGAACTATTGCTAAATATCATCTCAACTGAAGTAACTTACCCCATTCTTTAGTGACCCATGGGTTCCACGTCAGGGTCTATTCAAGCCACCATTGAACATCTAATATATTCCAGCCTTGCACATTGCTTTGAGGTACTCTGAACTGCCGAAGTTCCCAACCTCTTGCCCTGTGACTTCACATAGAGTGTGTTTTTGTTCTTTCTTGCACAGCATATGTAAGGGACTATAGAGCTTTGGGCATAGAAATCAGTAAAACTTGTTTATCATGACCTTTGCACTTGGTTTATCATGACTTTGTACAACTTTGAATAATGTGCTCCAGCTCACTAATATGGTATTTGTAATTAAACTTGCAAACAGTTTTTCATATTTCCCAGAAGTCTCCAAGTGATACATATTCCATAGATCTCTGCCAGAAAAAAAAGGGGGTGAGGGAAGGAAATAAGCTACGTTGGAGCAAAGTTTCCCTATTCTACTGGAATTAAGTTAGCATTAATTTGAGGTAGTTTGTGATTAAAATGTCCACTATAATTCCTAGAGTAATCACTAAGAAAAGTACTCTAAAAATAGTTTAAAATCAACAAGGGAATTAAAATATACTAGAAAAAAAATCCACTTAATGAAAAAAAAAAAAAAAAGCAGTGGAGGAAAACAAAAGGAACAAAAAGGACATGTGGTATATAGAAAACAAATAGCAAAATGCAGACATAAATCATAGATCTTTGCCAGAGAAGGCCTGAGGGCCTTGCAAGGAGCTCTTACACAGATTGGCTGAGAGACCATTCCAGGTTGGTGTCTTTGTCTTCCTAGACAGCGGTTTAAGCAGAAGTGAGCCATTTATACAGTCTAGGGGAGAAGTCCTCTGAAAGGCCCCCATGATGTGATGCAGACAGAGTGCAGGCCTTGGACTCAGATGTGCATAGGTTAAAGTCTCAGCTCTTTTACTTACTATCTTTGTGACTCTGATCTCCCCCATAATCTTATTCATTATTGTAAAATGGCCTAAATGTGGCCATGGCAGTATTGGCTTGTTCCCTGGATGACCGTGATCACTTAACATATCTCTTTTGGTTTTTGTTTATTTGTTTGTTTTTAGTGATTCTAGGGAGAGAGGAAGGGAGAGTGATTGAGAGATAAAAGCATTGATGAGAGAGAAACATTGTTCAGTTGCCTCTTACACACCCTTACTGGGTATCAAGCCTGTAACCGGGCATGTGCCCTGACTTGGAATCAAACTAGGGACTTTTTGGTTCATGGGTCGATGCTCAACCACTGAGCCTCACCTGCTGGCAGTATATCTTTCTCTTTCTTTCAGCTCCAGGGTTGTCAAATAGACTGCCCATTAGCATGCTTAGCTTCCTAAGTAGATTTGCACCCAGGGAAAGGATATGCATGTCCGAGAGTTTTTTGGTCCTCACTGTAAATTAATTCACTCAGATACAAATGGGCCACATTGCCCTGGCAGGTTTGGCTCAGTGGATGGAGCTTTGGCCTGCTGACTGAAGGGTCCTGGGTTTGATTCCAGTCAGGGGCACATGCCACGGGATTCGTGCACTGATGGGGGCTGTGGCTTGCAGGGATCAGCCCATTGAGGGAATGCAGCCCATCCCAGTCAAGCCAGGGTGGGGGACTTGAGGCTGCGCCCCCCAACCAGTGGGGCTTGATAGGGGACCTCAGGCACCCTACCTAGCAGGGCTTGATGGGGGACCTCAGGCTGTGCCCACCGCCCCAGCGCCAGGCTGAGAGACCTAAGGGTGCGCTGGGGGATCTGAAGGCTGCACCCCCCACCTGGCATTCGCTGGAAGACCTGAGGCTGCGCCCCCTTCCCAGTGTGCTCTGGGGAACCTGAGGCTGCACTCTCCACCCGGCACGAGGCCAGGCAATCTGAGGGTATGCCCCCCGCTCGGCAGGACTTGATGGGGGTGGGGGGGATCTGGATCTCACCCAATGGTCTGGGTCTCACACAATTTCAAGGCATGTGTGGGTGGGCAGGGACTTGACGCTAGGTCCCACGGCCACGCCCCAGACTCTGACAGGAGGAAGATTTTCTTATACATTTTACTAATTTTCTTTCATCTCTGACACTTCTATTATAGAGAAAGGGCAAATAGCAATATTAAAATATTTCCTCTAATTAATTCCCTTTTAATGTGCACAAATTTCATGCACTGGGCCATTAGTTAAATATAAAGAGTTATATCTTTATATTATATATTATGAAGTATACCTTTTTATCTCTCCTAATGCTTTTGGCTTTAGAGTCAATTTTGGTTTCAGAATAACATAGCTACACCTATTTTCTTCTGGTTGGATTGCTTGATCAGCAAGGCATCATCACTTACCTGTGCTTCAACATTTAGCTCTACTTCGAAGGGGAAGCTGGGAACTACAGTATCCCTTTTCTTTTATGACTCTGGATGAAATTCAGCCAAGGAGGGGCAACTGTGCAGATTTTCAAAGCATATAAGCCAGTTTACTATTGAGATGAGAATATACAAACCAAGATGACATATTACAAATTTGTCCCTTGCTTGCAAACCTTTGTAAGGATTGTAGATCTTCCAGACATGTTAACGAACAAAGGAAAAAATAGTTTTCAATAAAAAAGGATCATTAAAAGTTTGAAAGTCAAGTTTTACCACAAGTAACAAAATTGGATATGGGGGATGAGGGAAATAGTAGGCAAAAATGACTACTGAGTTTTTTCTTTTCTGGCTTGAGCTAGCAGTTGACATTGTGCATTCAGGTGAGGAGGCCCTGGAAAGGGAGCGAGCTTGTGGGAGAGATACAAAAATGTGAATTCAGAATGGGGAGATATTCATGAGACATTTGAGAAGAGATGAAAAGGTAGGCAACTGGACATGCAATCTGACATTAAGAAAAGAAACTTGGGTTTGAAAGAGTAATTTGAGGATGGAGATGGAGAAGATCGCCTAGGGAGGAGGAGAGAGCCTAAGGAAATGCCTCAAAACTGAGCATTCAATGGAGCAGAGGAGACTGACATAATTTCAGATTTATTCAGACTATTCACACACAAAGAATTCCCACACCCCTTTCACCTTCATTCCCCAAATAGTAACATTTTACTACATTCGCTTTATCATTTTCTTTCTATGGATACCCATTAATATGAACCATTTGAAAGTCAGTTGCAAACACTTTGCTCCTTTGTCCCTTAATATTTAAAATATATTTTCTAAAGATGAGGACACCCTCTTACATGTTCTCATTAATACAATCATCAAAGTCAGGTTATTGACATTGATATGATATGAGCTTTTGATACTTTTAAAATCCGGGGAATTTACTATTCTCTCCACTTTTTTTTTTTTTTTTTTCTGGTTTGAAGGTTTTCATATTAAAAAAAACAAAACAGGAACATAAGTCACACCCCCGGTGTTTGGGTGGAAGGTCAGTATGAATGGTAGGACATAGGAGACCCCACATCATTCTGGGCTGCAACAGACCTTGTCCCTCTGACTCCTTTAAGGCAGGCTGGGCTCCCGACCCCCATAGGTTGAAGAACAGCCATGCTTCAAGGGTCTCAGACCTGTACTGACCACAGGTAGTTCCTCAACATCTTATCACTATTTCTCCCAGGAAATCTTTGGAAATGGAATGCAAACACCAGTCCCCACAGCTCAGTCCAACCTGTCAGAGTTCCTCAGGCGGGTACACAGATCCGTTCAGTGCCCTGGGGCCCTTATCCTCCACACAGCCATTTTAATGGTGTTCAGCTCTCACTTGCTATTTGAATATTAATTCACATGTCAGTGCAGGCGAGCGTGCTGAGCAGGCTCATGACAAGCTCATATCATCCACATTAGTATTTTCCTCCATCATCTTGACAGTCGAGAGTTGGCAATATCACAATTCAGATGGCACTCTGCGATTGAAAGGAAAATTATGGTTGTTCAGGAGGCAGCTGGTGAGCAAGTGAATAGGATGAAGTTTCTATGAAGCTTTTCCTTTATTTTATGGTATGAATATAATAAAATGTGGATTCAGCGTGGGATTCTTACTTTAAAAGAACAACCCAAAGACACAGAGCTGTGGAGACAAAGGCAAACAAAGCATTCTGTTCCATAGTAATCATCTTTCTTCTTTTTATTCTCACACAGTAATAATTTTAACAAAAAGCAAAAACAGCAAAACATCCATTTATAAATGATTTCATCTCTTTTGCAGAAGTTAACGTTGTTGCTGTACAAATCACTTGGAAATGAGTTCTTTTGGTGCCTGGTAAAGATATGTTTTTACAGCACATTTTCAGTTTGCCAATTAGGCAGGAGAAGCTACAATTCACTTTCCGGGAGAGACCTGAGTTGAGGTACAGCTCACAGGTGAGCCAGACCCTCACAGATCAGTCCATGAGTTTAGGAGCAAACTAAACAGTTTTCTCGTCTAAGGACCCGAACTTCAAGGACAGTGACCAAGATGGCTGTTGTCAGGGCTCTTTCCGTGTAAAAATCAGAGAGACAAGAAAAAAATAAGCAGGGGTAGGGGAGTATTTTCCAGTGTTTTTCTTCTACTTCTAGTCAGTTTTGCACATGATACCAGGGCACTTGCTTCAGAGAAATACATCCCACATGCTGCCCGCCTAGAATTGAGATGTCTCAGTGCTTAGGTGTATCCATTTCTTCCTGGGTCAGCCAGTGGCAATGGTGTGCTGGTAAATGTTTAACAACCAGCTCTCCAGGGGGGAAAACTTGATATGCAGTATTTGCCCATCTCGGTGGGGTAAATACTCGCACCATGGCTGGTTTAAGCTGCCAACGTGATGTCACTGAACGAGGGAGTTGGGAAGACATGCACGTGGCACACCATTGTACATAGTATTTCCATTATACATTAGATGTCAATCACCTCAAGTGCACAGATAGCAAAACGTACTAAAATAATTAGAAAGTGATGAATTTTGGGTATTTATTAACCTATGTCTGTAATATAATATATTTAATGGTAGGTTTTATAATTTAGTGTTTAATGATGGTTATTTAACCAGCTGACAAGATTCCTGGAGATCTAACAGTCTGCTTCCTCAGGCTGGT